CCCCGCCCAGCGCGCGCGCGCTGAGAGGGAGGGGCCGGCGGCGGCGTCGCGCGTGCGCTGAGGCGCCGGACAGGGCCGGCCTGTCAACCGCCGGGCCTGCCTGTGGAGAACGTATTTATGTGGTAAATTTCATCTATTTACCTTAAAAACGAACTCAGGACGTAGCGTGAGGACCTAATCTTTTGTCTGCTTTCTTCTTGTCCTCTACAACTCCCTGAAAGGAGGGTGTAGCCGGCGGCGGGGGGGGGGGTGTGTGTCAGTCTCTTCTCCCAAGGAACAGGCAATGTGACAAGAGGGAACGGCCTCAAGTTGCGCCAGGGAAGGTTCAGATTGGGTATTAGGAAAAATTTTTACCCTGAAAGCGTTATTAAGCATTGGAACGGGCTGCCTAGGTAGGGGGTTGAGGCACCATCCTGCTGTCTGTGGAGCTGCCTTTGTTGCCTGGTCTCCTCAGAGAGGTCGGATACATCCTTTGCAGGTGATACCTTCGCTTGCTTCCTCAGCGTTTGCAGTACATCCAGCCTTGTAAAAATACTTGGTAAAATCAGGAGGAAATCATTCACCGATGGGCTTGATCTGAGCTTCTAAGAAACGGGCAGCCTGTCGATGGGTTAAAAGTGCAGCTCGAAGTTCAGATTGGGCATTAGGAAAAATTTTTACCCTGAAAGGGTTATTAAGCATTGGAACGGACTGCCCAGGGAGGGGGTTGAGGCACCATCCTGGAGGTATTCAAATATATAGTGCTGGGGAAGCTGGTTTAGTGATGGGTTTTTATCAGAGAGAGGTAGATGGTTGGACTTGATGATCTTAAAGGTCCCTTCCAACCTAGACAATTCTATGACACAGGACTAATTTCTCTTCTAAAGCTTGGGGAAAATTTCACTTTTAGAAGGCTGGTGTCTGAATTCCTGAAAATATTTACCTTATAGCCAGCCAGGCTGTGTGGGATTCAAGGTCTCGGTGTTTTCGAGCCTTGCCAGGTGCAGGGATGAGGAGGAGTGGGGCCTGGGCACTTGACCTAAGATGGCAACAGGATTATTTCATACCATGAACATCACATTCAGTATAAATTAGAGAATTTGCTGAGGAGTTCTCTGGCTCCCAGAGAGGTAGTCCAGAGAACCTCTCACCCCACTGCTGGAACCCTGAGTCCTTCCCTTCCTCCCAAAGCCATGGATATTTGCTGTCTGCAGCTGGGAGTGCACAGCTTCCTGCTGATATCCGCCCTCCGCCGGGAGAAGAGCCGCCTCCTTCCCACAATGCACCGCGCCCGGCCCCGGATGAGCGGTGCGCATGCGCTCGCGGCTGTGCGCCGCTCTACCCCCCCCCCCCCACGCCCAGCGCGCGCGCGCTGAGAGGGAGGGGCCGGCGGCGGCGTCGCGCGTGCGCTGAGGCGCCGGACAGGGCCGGCCTGTCAACCGCCGGGCCTGCCTGTGGAGAACGTATTTATGTGGTAAATTTCATCTATTTACCTTAAAAACGAACTCAGGACGTAGCGTGAGGACCTAATCTTTTGTCTGCTTTCTTCTTGTCCTCTACAACTCCCTGAAAGGAGGGTGTAGCCGGCGGCGGGGGG